TCGAAAAAAGGGTTTTTTATATGTTTTACTAGTAAATTTTAGAGCAGTCTCATGACCCGTGTCAGGGGAGTGTACATAGAACACGTTTGAAACATAATTATATCAACTATAACATTGTCGCCATATATTCGGAAAATAATGATTTCAGGCGGTTCCGCTTTGATTGAACGGCCGAAATTTGTAGACTTAACTCCTCTCTTGTCAGCCGATATTTTGTTTATGAACATAATGCCAACTTCTCTCATGCTTCATCAAAATCGAAAAGATACCCAGGACTAGTCAAGTTTACAGAGCAGACGTGTTTAAGAAGAGGATTATCTGCAACACATGCCAGAAAGTGTGACACTGACTTCATATAATTCCATTTTCTTGCGACAGGCAGCAGGTAGATTCTGAAACTGCATATCCAAATAACCCTTTCTTGTGACTGATCTCTATCGAAAATAATAATACCACACACCTTAGCGACATTAAATGTGTCAGTAACTTTTATTTTGGCGTAGTAACAGTATAAGTGGGTCAGCGACTTTGATTTTGGCTCGGCATAGGCTCATCAATTTAAACAGTATAATTCACAACTTTGTAAGTTGTTAACCACTGTGAATTCAAACATAAAGTGTCTATTGTTAACAGCACATCGTAAATGCCTTTCCCACTAATATGCGGTTGGATCTAAAATCATAGATTTCAGGAAAAAAAATACGTCACAATTAATATTAGTCCTCACAATAGCTTGTTATGCAGTGCAATGCAAAAGTAATGAGAATTATTAATTAATTGACGGTTTAACTAGTAACAGCTGAATTACTTTACAACAACTCGTGTCAGTCTAATAAAATTTGCGGTATATGATAAACAAATGAGCACTTAATTCAGAATTTACAATATCATTAAACAGCAAGTTACGAAAAATGCTTTATGATTTTCTGTATATTATTCGTATCGCGAATTGATGATGATTATCATAATATTGAGCTCTATTTACGGTATTAGCTGTATTATTACTATCATACAAATCAGTTTAACTAAAGCATGCGTGTGGTTATCGAATAAAAAAAAATCTCTTTTACTGAGCGTGCTCCGAAATGTTACGCTGATACTATTACTATTGTTTTTATTTACGGAAATAATATAATAATTGCGATATAATGTATTCACATATTATAGGCATATATCAATATTCGTTTGACATATAGCACGCGAGCACATACATATATACCCGGACACTTCTTTCCATTGCACATGTATCGCAACGTTTTTTATACAATGACAACAAAATTTTGCCTCTATTTCATAGAACAGTTACAAATCACGAGCAAGTCTTCAAACGACTAATTCTTAACACTCAATTACGACTCGGTTTATCGACCACATAACCGACGAAAGAGTTCGAACACGTGTCTGCTCATGCATGTATATACCCAAACGCTACTCTATTGCGCATACATCGCTTCACAGCAACGTTTTGCGCAAGTACATTATCCAAAAGTTAATATACAACGTGTCAGACATTTGCCGTCACACACATACGCGGCATTCACTCAAAAGTATTCAAACGAACACGATGTATCAACCGCGTAACCAATGCCGTATGTGCTATTTAAAAGTTGAATATGTAACGCAGACAATCCTTGTTATCACGCACTACGACAGTTTGCTACGACTCTCAACAAGTGTTTGAAACAACGACTCGGTTTATCGACCATGTAGTCAACAAAGAGTACAAATATTCGCGCCTTTACGTTGATGTACACATACAAATATGCTTTTTATTATTCTATTATAAATAATAATATTTAAATTTAATTTACTTGTAAATAAAATAATCTTTTTGTAACAGGTATTTTATTTATTGTAGTAAATCACCCCTGCGATTAAGTGACTCTGACACGGGTCTGATGAGTGGGTCACAGGGGATGCCTGGACACTTGGTGGAGTTTTGGGGTCTGATTCGGTAATTACTTAGTATTAGTTGTTTGTGAAGAAACTGCCCCTGAAGCTGGTGAGAGATACAAGAAGTGTTTGTTGCCTAGTACGCCGGTTTTGAAGCAATAATTATCCCATTTATATGTAACATATGTATAATTTATTTCATGTAATGTGAATATTAATTTTATGGTGGTAATACAACAAAAATTATATTAATCAAAAAAGCAGAAGAAAAGAAAACAATAAAGGGTAAAAAAAGTTAACAGTATTGTTATTATTGCTTATAAACATAATCGCAATGTAATGATATAATAATAAATTAATTTGTTGTAATTAACGTATTAAAATTTATCGGTTTTGTTTGTCAAAAACTCGACAGTATCTCTAAAGACGACTCTACTTTTCAGCACTTATCCATTTAATTTATTCAATGGACAATACTGTAGAAAAATAGCGACGAATATTATATTACAAATCTACTGCTTCCAATTTTTAATATTGTCTAACATTCTTTTTTGTAATATAATTAAGGTATGCGGATTAATGTATCAAGAATATTAAAAGTTTCAAGTAAACTCGCGATAAAGTTGGTGAATAGTGTTCGAGGTGAATGTCAACGCCACGGATCACATTGAAAGATATACAGCATCCGAACCATTTGCAATCATAAAACGAGAATGACTATGAAATTTCTTAAAAATTTGTGTCAAAATTTATGTTAGTTATAATCATAATGCGCTTAAATTAAAGATTATTATTACAGTAATCTTGTGCATCTATTGCTTGGAAAGTTAACGCGTGGAAGTTAGAGTAACACGTAGAAACGAACGCTGGAATGTCAGATCAAAAATCCAATTATTGATATATTAATTAAATAGCGTAGCACATTATCTTCCAGAATAGAATATATAAAGAGTTGGCTTTCAAGAATTAGCTACACCTCAATTGATGCGGAAGACCACGTTTAGAGTCTAGCTTTGAGAATATCCTCCGGTCGAATTTGCTCTCCCAGGTTACCAAACGTAATAACAGTATGGAAAATCCACAGCGCCGTATTAGCAGTGTTAGGTCAAATAAACTTAGGTCATATTTATTATAGACCGTAACTGACATATTTCCGAATGGGAACAGTTGATACATTGGATCCAAAAATTTTTTGAACAACTTTTAGAAAGTGAAATGTTTTATTGTAATAGAATAATTAACTAGCATAGTTCTAAATGCTTATTTTAAATACTTCAATCTCTTCAACAGCAAAAGCTTCTTCACTTTCCCGAATGGGTTTAGAATACGACGATTGTTTTGCACTACAATTTTTTAAGGAGAACTTATGCTGAAGTATTAGATCACTCGTGCCGAAGCTCGGCCCAAAACATGCATTATTATATATAGCTCTATTAATATCATTGCAACAACTAATAATATTTCCATTGTCGCGTAACGCGAATATAAAACTTTCCGGAGCCCTTGCAAATGCTCCACTTTTGTTCCAATCCGAAGAATTGTATCCTCCAATGATCTCATCATTTTCTCCTTTAATGCTAAGGACCGAAAGAGTAGGTCCTTGTTCATCACAATATTTATGGAACTTTTTCGGTCTATAATCGTATACACTACCGATATAAAGGCGCGTAGCCTTGATTCTGATAGCTCCCCCTATCGCATAGAGTCTGCGGAATCTCAAGGCTACTTGTTGCATTAGCCACTGTTTTTGTTTGGGCGTAAGAATCGATGACACTAGGCCATCGTAATGTATGATTTCTTCCATTTCTTCAATTTCTTCGATTTCTTCATCGTACTGGACTTTAATGTCCGGCTGGATAAAGTGCGGCAAGTTTTTTTTAACAGTTTGATCAATAATTCCTTCAATATATAATTAATTTGGCAATACTTACGCTCAAGTGGCATGTCCGATCACGTGAACTTTCTTCGCTTAGATCCGGACTGCTTGATACCTTTCTATTTCTGGGCGGTAATACGGTTGAAATTGGTTTATATTGCCCAAAAGTTTGTTTAAATGTCACTAAATCCATCCATAACTGATATGGCAGTAGAGGAAGAAAGGGTAAAACTTTTTCCAAGTATGCATTTTCGTTTATATGGAAAAATCTTATGAGCGGAATACAGTCTTTTAAAACCTTCCTCATATAATCGAAGTCTGCCACAGACCAGGTCTTTACAGCATCAAGTCTTAAATCCGGTCTTTTTGAAGTGCCCCACAACAGCACTTGTTCCCATATTACATCTTCCGATAAATCGATATCTCGTTTTAATAGTTTAACCAAAGTTGCCTCGTCTATATCTTGAAAATCTTCCGCTGCAAATATAACCTCTGGCGAATTTTCAATGAATTCTTTGCAAAATTCATCAAGAATTTTCAAATTCTCTCGGCTTGAGGCCTCTCTACTGGCACGTACGATATGCCGTCGCATAAGATTTTCTTTCTTTGTTAAGCAGACTTGAATTTCCTCTGCTAGATAATTCAGCTCCAGATAATATGCTGCATCGATGGTTGCAAGGTATAAATTAAAGTCATCGTTCATATCAATGGTTCCCGTGTATATATACCTGTAAAAAAAGTAAGGTTACGCTTTACACCACAAGTAATATATGAACCAGTTTAGGTATACATACTCGAGTAAAATTTCGAATGTCGAAGGCTGAATTTGTTCAATTATCATTCCAAACGAACTTTTTTCGATCGAGGTATCCTCGTTATCGTAAGATAATTCTCTGCTAAAATACAGCGAACGCGCACATAAGATTAATCTGTGTGCGCGAAATATTTTGGAGACTGAACCCTCTCCAACTTGTATCGTAACATCGGCGTCCCGTGGTTCTTCGTACAGAGACTTAATGTCATCCGATAGCTTGCTTTTCAGACTAATTATCATGTTGGGAATATCAATGAAAGGCGTATCAATGCCAGATGCCGCAATATGGTCAGATTTGGGTACAATCACGAGATTTTATGGATGACATATTTGATGACGCGGATGGCTGTCGGTTACGGATTAGATAATGCGTGGCTCACCTCATTGTAGCCAAACTTGGACAAATAATTAGTATTAGTGACGTTTAAATTAAGGTTTCACACGAACGATCTCTATATCGTATCGTGTACACTAATCTTCGATGTCATTATAGATTGTTCTGCTGCGATTGCAACGAATTTGAAATTTGCACAATCGCGTCTTCTTACCCCGCCTTTGTTAACGTTCTGTTGCAAGTTACACCGACCCGTGGCGATTGCAACGCTTGTGTGCTACATTTTACCACAGCGATCGGATACCGTTCGGAGTTACGCAGAAATTCAGGTCACATAACTTCACATTGTGATATTGCCGAGCCAATTGATATTCAGTAATCGGCGTAAATCGCTAATACAGTCATTGACCTGTAAATTTGGGTTATATACTCACGATTCGTACGTGCGGTCTTTATTTTCGATTGTTTCATCACGCTGATTCTATTGATGGGTTTAATTTCATAGTCTAGGGACAGTTAGTAAACGTGCATGGGGGAGACTACCACACAAGCGCCTTTTGTTATTAGAATATTTAACAACTGTTCTACAAGATCGGATGCGGTTTACAGCAATCAATTTTACCAGAGTGGTATTTAAGGTCCAATATGTACATCATTTATTATACGAATGATAACTTATTAGTACAAGAAAGGATGCTTGGAACAGAATCCAAATGATAGCTACGAATCATGTTATTTGATGTTTTAATAGACTGCTAACGGATTAGAAAAATGCAACTCATGTAATATATAATCGACGGATGCTAGTCAGAAGCATTTTTAATAGCAAAAAAACCATGTCACTGTTGCTTTATGACTGACGATGTCATCGATTTCCGTTTAAAGCAAGAGAAAGTCCTTTGGATTTTCGGTGATTTTCAGTGTTACTGTTATTATTATGAAATTCGCCTTGTTGCCTAAATCTCCTCGCATTTCAAGGGTTTTGTATCACCGTTATTTCGTTAAGATCATGTGAAAAATTTCCATATCACATACTGTATTAATATAGCGCCATCGCATTGCCGTTTTTTTCTTTCTAACATTGATCTGTTGAAAATGCCCGAAGAAAAAAAAGAAATCCTTGTTTTTGGTCAAATCTACTATGCGCAAGACCTCTATGCCAGGATGAAGGAAAATTATACTATGAGAGTGAGTCACAGAGTATTCCGACATCATGAAATGCACGCACGCACGCACGCACAATTCACAAAAAATGGTTTGTAAAATGTGAAGGAATTTACGGAAACGCGAGAAGCATTCCTTGATTCATCTGATGAGACGTCGTACGATAACGTTGTTGGCGTGTTACTCGCTAGAGGAGCCGATCAGGTTGGATATCATAAAACTATGTATTGACTAGTCTATAACGGTTTACGTAGAGATTTACTCAGGGTGTTCTTATTCTCTTTGTTCAACAGATTATAACGAAAGTTGATCACGAAATAATTAATATACTCTCACTCGCAGTTACAGCAATCATTGTCATGGGGGAGGCATCGAAGCTGGTGGATTTGAAGGCTGCCACTGACAATGGTAATTAAATAGAAGACGACTTTGTACTCCCTCATCAACTGGCTCGTAGGAATCTGAGTTGACGACATATTATATGTATATATTATACGTATCGATAGTCAGTGGTTAGAGTGGTCAATGTGGTTATGACATTGACTTTATCTATTTGTTTTTTGAATACAGGGATTTTTGTCGCTGATACTCAAAACGACCCAAAAATGGAGTCCCCTGAAGTACCCAATACCGATGGTAGGGCTGTATTATGATTTATTGATAAATAACTTTACCACTAATTAGTGCTATCATTTATTTTCATTTTGATGAACAGAGTGGGAAGAGGTAATTCAATTGTCTGGTTAATAACCGGCTTGCATGTGAATTTACTAACACCGCAATCACTCGAAAGATCCTAGCCCTAGAAAACCTTGACTTTGCGCTCGTACTGGGCGTTCCAAAGAACGTTCTTAACAACTTTGACGACGCAGCGGAGCGTGCCGCTGAAAGAGCAGGAGAGATTGTAGCGGGTGGTGCCGAAGGATATGAACTAGACGTGACGGATATCGAGATACAGATTTAGATGGGTCATCAATTTATAGAGAAGATTAAACTCAATATTGGTATTTATTTGTTTATGATTTAATCTTACCCAACGTATTGCGCACGAGATGGATTATCGGAAAGAAATAAAGTAATAATGGCGAACAGGTTTTGCATGTTGTAGTGCTATAGTTCAAGAGGTATTGACGATACAGATTTTCATGTTCATGGTGCTAGAAACTAACATCATATTTCTGTGAGCATTTACAGAGACTATACTGTACATCGAATGCATCATTGTTAGTGATAGCACAGACTCGGTTACTTTCGTTGTTTCACTCTAGTGTGTAATTGAATGTTTTTCCATTTTAATACATCGAGGTTAAATTCTGCTTGTTCTGATATTTCTGTCGTCTTAATACTGCACGGGAAAAAAAAGCAACACAAACAATAACAGTAAACTTTCAAAGAAGCTCTTGCTAATAAGATTATGTAAAAGGCCATTAGCAATTCTAGTTGACTCGGATTTAATAGTAAGTTATAAAATTGGACGAATTTATTTTTTCTGTATGAAACAAATTGTCCTCGCCTATTTTTTTTCTTCTTAAATTGTTTAGGTAAAGCACGTCAAGATATTGCAAGGCGAAATACGCTTTCCCCTTCTGCTATTTCTGCTCATTTTATTTTCTTTCCATGTGGTCGTTTTAACGTTAAGCAATGGCAAACTGTGAATAACAGCGCATTCAGGACAAAACTTTTGAAATTAATGCGCGTCGTATTGTGTCACAATTACAAAGTTTTCAGTATTTTAAACAAGTGTACAGAATTTCTTTCTGTTATAATCTTTTTTCATTAATATTTATCCACGTGTCTAATATGTCAGCTGATGATAACGAGAATTTTATGCCGATCGGTTTTATTTGTTCATTATTATGGAATTATATGCAGAGATTGAGAAAAGAGAGAATGGCATCAAAATTATTGAAATGCACACTGCTGGTGAACCAACTCGAATTGGTATGTAAGATAAATTATTCTGGTACACATGGATATACAGATAATAGTAATAATAATGATAGCAGCAACAATGTAGTTGTGAAAGGATATCCGCCGATATTAGGATCGAACATACTCGAGAAACGCCGATACGTTAAAGATAACTTAGATTGGATACGTAAGAGGTAACGAAAGCATCAATAGCCTTTTGTTGTTGTCACTCAAATCCAGAATTCTCATTCGCGTTAACGCCGCCCCCTTTCAATGTTTCGTTAAACACGTTGGATAGGATACTGTTTGAACCGCGTGGGCACAAAGATCAATATGGAGCAATTATATTGGATGAGAAGACCAATAGTGAAGCGGACGTTAGCGTGTTGTTTATGCACAACGGTTAGCGAATTTACTCGTTTATGCTTGTATTGATGACTCGCATCGAACACGATCATTCACATCCCCGTTTGTCCTCGATTGAACTATGTACTAAGCAGAAGGGTTAGTTATCGTCACAACACACATAATGTACAAAACTTGTGTACTAGAACAATTAAAGTAGATTTTCTAATATATTATATTCTTTTATTATAGCTACTCGACAATGTGTGGCCATGCAACAATTGCCCTCGGTCGTTTCCTAATCGATAGCGATCACTTGTATCCACCGCCTATACCTGATGACTCTGGCAAAGTTACTCTTAAAATAGAATGTCCCTGCGGCATAGTGCCAACATTCATCCATACGTACACGACAAGTTCCGGTCAGTTACGTTCCAATCCCAACTTACCCGTGTCGTTCCAAAGCGTACCTTCGTTCTCTGTCGCTGTAGATTGTGTATTAGAAATTCTCATCAATGGCCGGCGCAAAAGCGTCAAATTTGACATTGGATTTGGAGGAGCATTTTATGTCATCGTCGCTGCTTCAGAGTTGGGATTTGATAACAGTTGTCTGGACTCGAACGATCTTTCTCTGATTGTAAAAGTAGCCAACGATTTAAGTAATCATGTGAGACAATCCAAGTATGTTGGTAACATTCGTCACCCTAGTTCCGAACACAGTGAACTCAACTTTTTGTATGGAACTATAATTACCGACGGTAGAGATGGTAGTGAAGATGGAGGAAGTAGGAACTTGTGCGTGTTTGCTGATTGTGAAATAGATAGAAGTCCTTGCGGGTCAGGTGTATCGGCTAGAATGGCTTTATTGTATGCAAAAGGCATAGTAGAAATAGGCAAGCCATGTTATTATGAGAGTGCACTTGGTGGAGATGGATTCACAGGTAAAGTTGTTAGAGAAGTGTCAATTTGTGATGTTGATGGAAGTGAAAAGGAAAATTTGAGAGCTGTTGTTGTGGAGGTGGGTGGAAAGGCTTATTATTGTGGAGTGTCAACATTTGTGATTGAAGAAAATGATCCATATAAAAATGGGTTCATAATAAGAACTTAGATCATATCCGGTTTTGTTAACGCTTTAAGATGTCTGCTTCTGTGAAGATTGATTCCTTTGCTTTTTATAACTGAACGTTATACAATTATCAAGAGATTCGTCAAGATTGCTAGGCGGATCTATCGTTCAACCATTAGTAAGTTTTAAGTGACCTAAGCTGATTATATTGGGTACTTACTGTGTATAACGGCACAAAATCCATGTATAAACCATTGTCCAAATTTAATACAGATAAAAATGTGTGGGAATGCAACGAACAACTGAATAAAGAGAAAAGCGCCGGTGAAAAATTCCTTACCTTTGATGTCAAGTCTTTTATAATACAAAAAAAATACATACAACTTGTCACGTTTGTTAATATTGTCTTGTTTAGAAAAAGTCAGTTGGGGCGGGTCACCCCTGATGAACAGTTATAATACAAAATACATTGATGCGTTGGAAATTAATAGTTACAATAATAAATACATGCAAATCGTTACTAATTTACCCATTGATAGTACAACAGTCCCCTCTTTTAAGTTATATATCACTAATGTCAATTAACACTAACTGTCCATTAATTTCTTGTTTATCGTCCAGTACCATTATTCATCAGACAATGACGACAATTACAATGCTCATTGGCTGGAATTAATTCACCTGAAATATGATGTCTGTGCGTTGCTGCCAGCCGAGATCGAGGTTGTTGGATGTGGTGATCCTGGTACTAGATTGATTACCACGCCGAATTAAATAAGCAATGACACGTTAACCATACAAGTCTAGTATAACTAACATACATGCTTTTTACTTACCCGACTTCCTTCGTCATCCCTATACGCGCGGTTTTGTGTTGTGGAATACTCGGTCGGGGAGAAGTTATATCGATGGTAGTCTTTATGAGTGGATACAGGAATATTTCGAGGTTCTCCACTGAAGCGAGCGGCCATATCACTCACACGGCCGTATGGTGTGACTGGAAGTTCTGATGAGGAACGTGGCGGAGCGGACTGAAATAGGGATGGAAGAAATTAGCACTCGGTTATAGTCAAACATCCCAAATTGAATCAAAAAAACTCCCGTTTTCACAAAAAAAACCAACCCCCTTCCCAACAAAAAAAACAGGACTCACCACACGCCGATCGGCATTCCCAGACGCCATTAACTTGTCCTTCATGACAGCAACATAACCATCTCTCTTTGGCAATTCCATAGTATACGCTCTTCGCGAATACAGATCATAACCTCTTTCCGGTGATCTTTCTCTGTAAGTAGATGACGGCACATTCCCAACCTCTTTCCGCGGATACCTTTCGTATTCATACGTCTGTTGCTGTTGCATGTCAGATTCCCTGCGCCTTACGTGATCATACACCTTATATTCCCCATCATCGTCATTATCTACAAATCGACTGCGCTCGGATGGAGATTGAGGATATCGCGTGGGTGAAATATTACGGCGTCGAATGGGTTCAGACGGATGAGATATAAATCGTGACAAAGGTGACGCTGCAAGAGTGGAGGGAGCAGAATTGAGGTCGTCAGATTCGAAATCATAAAGACCTTGGTGATTCGAATACTGTATTGGCGAAGGTGGTTGATCAAAGTAGTCTCCGCGGCCGTCGTCCCGTCGGGACACTGAGCTGTGGTAGGGATTACTATGGAGCGCTTCATAACGTCGGTAATCAGACTCTCGTCGGTTGGCGTCAATTCTGTCTAAATTCTTCCTCATAGCAGTTCTGTTATTAACATTTCTGCTTCCATCTTCTTCCACTTCGGCCTCTTCATCGCTGTCTCT